AAACAAATAATCCCCAACGCGATACAGATGCACAAGGACCGCCTGCTGGTGCAACCGCTCAGAGACAACATTCGTGTTGTACACTTCACTGGAGATGTTTGCTCTCCGTTTACAATTTCCCAGTCTCACCACGACACCGGTGTACCGGATACCGATTTTGTGCTGTATGTAGCGGCAGGACCAGCTGTATTTGCTAATCTCGCCTGGGCAGTCACGTGTCAATTTGACCCCAGTGGCCGCCCCTTGGTGGGTGCTGCCAATTTTGAGTCTGTAAACACTATGGACATTTTTCATGTCACACATACCCTGGCGCACGAAATACTTCACGTGTTGGGATTTGATAATCAAATATTTAAAAACAGAAACATGCTTGATACTGTGTCTGTTCGCAATAAGCCAGCAAGTTATGTTCTGAAGTCGCCCAAAGTGGTAGAAGTCGCGAGGGCTCATTACGGGTGCAGTACCATGCAGCACGTCGAGTTGGAGAATACAGATGGCACGGGGTCTGTCGGCTCACACTGGAAGATGCGTAACGAAAGTATTACTTGATGCTGTTGCTAATATATGACTTCCTCATTCCTTTAATTTTACCCGTGTATGGACACTCCTATTTGGCTACAGCAGCGTTAGGGAAAACGAATGAGTTGTTGGTGCCTTATAACTATTTCCCACCTCAGACCACTTAGAGTGGCGGTGTAGTAATCGACAGTGTGTTGGGTTTTGTGGGGGACCTGCTCGTGGCAGTGTTCACGGTGGTTGCCGTATGATGTTCGTTCTCATGTTCATGGAGATACGCCTTCGGCTGTTGATGATCAAAGTCCTTGAGAAGTGTTTCCGTGTTCCTGATCATTTCTTTCACTCGGTGCTTCACTTTGGAGGTGGTAGTCTGTTCTTCCTCAATAATAGCATGTTTTAGCTTCTCAGTAAGTGTCGGAACGAGTCCTTCGTGGAGACTACTAACGATCTGGAGGATGCTGCCGGGATGAGTCACCCTATTTTAGACCTTTCGGAAGTCCTTCTCGATATCGAGCATCTTCATGACTCGTTTTTCGTTGCTACCAATACCGATCAAAGCAGCAGTAAAACAGAGCCCCACCAATGTGTAATGAAACAGTGCCCGATGTGCAAAGGAATTGCACTCGAGAATGAAACGGTAGAGTCCCATGTTTTGCTATGCTAAACTCGACACAAATGAACAGACCAGTACATCGTTCTGATCTGGGTGTTTGAACTTGAAAATAAGAAATCAAATGACAAACCGACGATCCTTCCAGTTATTCGGGAGATTCGCTGCGATAAGGCACTGCCGAGGATCTGTTCAAAACTGTGTGAATCCAGAATAACCAGAGTGCGAACATTGGCAGAGGCTGAGACAGGTCGCATGGTGTCGGTGATCCCCTGAAACGAGGGTAACTTGTCCTTAACTTTAGCACCTTTGGTGCCGCTCTGAAGGCTCGAATGATCATTGTCTTTACTCAAGACGCTTTCCGGATCAGCTCCACATGCGGCAGATTATTCCGCGTCATTCGATATACGTGTGTGTGGCATGATATTACCTGAGAAGTTTGACTATACTGGTCCGCAATTCGGTTTTATTGAAATAGCCCCTGGAAGAAATCGACTATTACCGCTATGGTTCGTCGAGGATGTCGATGCATCAGGACGATCGGCGATATGACTAACGCTGCTCTTCCCACTATAGCGGCATGACGCGCATGAGAGTAGTGCATCAATTTCTCCAGTATTCTCTTCTTGGTTCTGGAGGGTAACCCCTATCGGGTTCGAAACTCAACTGAACTTTTGGATAGAACCTGCACCGCAATACAAGTTGTCAGTGGCATTCACAGTATTCGAGTTCTTTCTTAGCTTTCCATTCTCAAGTGCTGAAATGGAGCATGAACGAGATAATGGAACTCGAGTCGACATTAAGTAATGCTGCGCCTATAATTTCTTGGGATGAGTGAGTGGCTTCATGGTAAGGATATTCATATTTTTATGTGTGTTTTGACTCTCAGTGTCAGTCAACTCTTCTGGTGAGTATTTTAACAGTGATTTTGTACGTTCCATGTGTGTATTGGAGCCCTTAATGTTACATAGTTTGACCTGTGTATTAAGCAATCTTAAAGCATGATCGCTACCCGCATCACTTACCAAAAATGCGGCCACAGTAAAAGTACATCTGCAGAGGATATTTTGAAGTGAACCATAAGGACCTGGATCTAAGGAATGCAAGGCATCGCCAAGAATTTCACAATTGATCCCGGCGTCCACAAAGAGAAGCGAAGAAAAGGTCTCATTGCCTTTAGCTTTAATAACCTGCCTCGGGACCAAAGAAATTATGAGCATGGAGAGGTCACCTATTTTATGAAGTTCCATTTGCTGATAAGTACTGGAAAATTTCCCAGATATCTGAGAAATGTCCTTGACTTGCATCCACTTCGCACCTTCCAAAGACATACCTTTCAACACTTCTGCATGGAAAGCTATCCAGGGTAAATGGTTCTTCACGCTTGATTTAAAATATGGGTACGTGCTTGTATTCATTTTCCTGAGATTAAAATGATTGATCTGGCCGTTATGCATGGTGCATATTGACCACAACAATTCTGCCTTAGGAGGAAGGTGCTTCACCAAGTATTCAAATACGTGCTGACTAATGTCAAGAAATACAATTTGGCTTTTTCTGTGGAAGACAGTAGGATAGATACATTTGCACCAGCAAAAATGTACCCTATCACATTAGATGTAGTAGAAGAGTGTATATGTTTCAGTTTCCACGTGTCTTATATAAGCTCGTCGACTCTGAAAAAGTTGGGATGCTCCCAGGGGATACACACTTTCAGAGTGTAATTGTCCTTTAAAGTAATTTTCACATTGGCTGCTAAATTTAATCTCTTTTCGAGTTCTCTACTAGACTGATCATCATTGCTATTATTGTCATATTGAGCACTTGTCTCAGTCTGATTATGTTGAATAACAGGCACTCGCTTTGAGAAAACATGGACATCAGTTTGTCTATGAGTGCTCGCCTGGTGAATAAATTTATTGTCTGAAGCAGAGGTCATATTATCAGCAAGGGAGTGAAATACGGCCTCGCGGACTTGGGCACACCATTCCTGAGGTAGAGGTGGCTCTTTGTGAACACAAGGCACATTTTGGGTAGTATTTTGCTCTTCAGCATTGAACAGTGGCTTGTGTAATTTTTCAGGCATTTTTATCTTCAGACGAACTAGGAGTGCCGCTACACGCTCATTGCGCTGGCGTAATCTTTGGGCGTCAGTCTTCGGCGACTTCAATGGTGCTGAAGGAGTCGTCAGCTGTGCACTTTGAATAAGGTTACTTGTATTTTCATTATCGGAAAAATCATATTTTGAGTGGCTATCCCAGTAGTACTCCCCGTTCTTAAACTGATCCATCCATAATCGCAGGGTGTTCTGATAATTGTGCTCCTGTGACGTAGAGTTGATGGCACACAAAAGAGATACCAGGGCCAGAGAAGAATCGAAGGGCGACTCTCTCTCTGAGGCTCTGAATGAGGAATAAATCCTTGATTGTTGAACTTTTTCCATATATGTCAGTGAGTCATGCCTTCTTTGGTGCCACTGACACCGGACAGTGAAATTTGAGGGAGTCCAACCACTTGTTGACTTCTGGGTAAAATAGCTTTGTGGCAAAGTCGAGTTTCCTGCCTTCCTACCTTTTTGAAGGGGCTGTTATTATATCGGTTGCTATTGAGTTTGAATCTAACAAGTTATTTAACTGTTGCCTGTCAGTGTGTAAGGTTCTCATCTTAAATGAAGACGTCAACGGCCAGTTTCGTGCCGCAAGTCCTTCTGTGGCGCACGAATGTCACTTCCCTCAATACGCATAATCAAGCTTGGCGGAATTTGAGATGACTCTTGTCTTTTAGAAGATAACGCAATGCGTTCCAAAGGAGTAATCCCCACAATGTGATGAAAAGAACTATCTTTGGTACCCGTAGAAGCGCTAATAGCGTCAATATTCTTTTTCTGAATAGAAGTCTTGGCAATATCAACAGCTTTTGAACACGGTTCTAAAGGATGCAGAGACTTCATCAGCCCTTGCGCCGCGCTATTACTCCCCCAAATGGAAACAAATACAGAATCCTTCTCAGTGTAGGGCTTTTCACTGACCTCCAAATGTCCTGAATGATGATTCTGTATCTTCGCCTTCGAAAGGCCTGATTTAAGCAGGGAACCAGACAACTTATCAGTGTTGCCCTTGATGGACAACAGATCCATTCGGTCGGATTTTAGGGATTTTGAACTAGGCTTGACCACAGCTGTTTCAATTTTGTGTGCATAAAGGCATGGCAGTATCTTTGGTGTCTTGTTTACTGAGTGATCAACCTTATGTGTGTGGCTTCAGATGATTGAGTAGGTTTGATCTCTGATAAGATATATGGTTTGGGTTTAGGTCGTATACGCGGGGAATATGAGCCTGATTCTGATCTGTGCGAACTAAATAGTGAATACACATAGTGCCTATCTCTTGGTGATGGCATAGATATATTCTTCAACATATGTAAGGTCTTGGGCAACTTTAAGTATGCTTTATTTTTAATCGGAGGTATATCAAATGTGCTGGTAGTGAAGCGCACAGAGGGCTTCTGGCGGTGTGCCACTGTTGCTGGAACAATGGGTGGCTGAAGCTTAACAGGTGCGACCCGGTTGACAGGTTGACCTACAGGTCTGCTCATTGAGAATAATCGCCCAGATTGACTGTCTAGCAGCTCTGCTGAAGTTATCGGAGGGCACATCGTCAAGGGACCAAAAGCCGTCGACTTGCCAGTGGAATGAATGAAGCAACTTATTGAATTAGAGTCAATCTCGCCCAATGTCTGTTCGGTTGTCGTATCAACTTTATCTTTAGAAGAACTACTCTCAGGCAGATTGAATTTGCATGCATTTGGCTCACTAGTACTCTGAGTCTCTTCTGAAGCCCTTCCACCAAGTAAGAAAGAAGAAGAATGGGATCGTACCGTTTCCCTGTATACAGTCTCAATTCCTGGGCAAGTTGACGATTCTGGTGGAATTTTAGTTGAGATACATGCCTGTAAGAGCGACCCATTCTCTCGCAAAATGTCCGAACTGGCTCTGATAGGATTGGAAATAAGTTTCCCATGAAACCGAAAGAAGCTATCTACACGAAGCAAATCTAGCATAGTATCTTCATCTGTATTCTCTATTGTTTTGGACTCAGCTTTAGTGTCAATATCAAGCGCAATTTCATCGTTGTTTTGTGGATAGGCACTAGATAAGCTCCTGATAGGTGAATAAGAAAAAAGGAAACTGTTTCCCATCGGAGAAGCTCTTCTAAAAGAAGTTTGCCGACCAAATCCTAATTGAGTTCCGTGAAAAAAAGTATCGATACCGAAGTTAAATGCACTACCCTTATTCGAAGAATCATGGCTGCATGAATCACTTATTAGGGCGATTTCTGGATTGTTGTAGCTGCTTCTTTTACCATCAGAAAAACTTTCGAAAA